TTGGGATACAAGCCAAACATTACCTCCTCTGTGAAGCCTTTCTTGATTCCACTAAGCAGCTGCTCCTCTGTGCTCCTGCAAAATGTTCTATTAACTCTTTTCATAACACGTATCTCATTGAGTTCATCTTTTTTGCCATCTTGAACAATGCTGTCCAATAGAAATATAATACAAGCCACATGTAATGTACCTTGTCTAATAGCCACATTAAGTAAAAAGCAGATGAAAATAATTTAAGTAACATTTTTATTTAACTCGATATATCCCAAATATTATCATTTCATCATGTAATTATTATAAAATTTATTAATGCATTTTCATTTCTCATATTTCCTTTTACTGCAAACACACATCCTACTTTTTTGCATGAAGAGGTTATTTTTATTGGCTTTAATTATGATTAATCAGAATTTTTAACTTTTAAAAGCCTTGATTTCTGGTGAAAACTTAAGTAGTAAACAATTGTGAGTTAACATTCTGTGCTCAAGCCTATCAAGTGAAAGAAACCTTCCCAGATCCTAATTTGGAGGACCCTGTTGGAAACAGTCTAGTTTGGTTACTGGGTATTCTGTAAATGTAATCAAAGGAAGACAGCCCTCAAACCTTGTTGGAACAGTCCTTACCAAGTATTCCTGACCCCTGACACTGCTGCAAAACAGTGGTAAAAACTGTGGGTAAAATTGTAATGTTTCCAGAATATCTCGCCTGGCTTTAGTGCATCCTCAGGAGTAGAGAGAAGTTCATCTCCATATCAATGGGTAATTACCTGGGCAACTAATGGCTTATCTGAACCTGAGAGGTTAAGGGGAGGGCTGGTTGGCTTCTGCTGGAGCAGGAGAGAGAAACAGCCCTGGACTGCAGTTTGTAAGCAATAAATGGGTTTTAAACTTATTTCTCCCTTTGACTGATTTTGGTTTTAGAGGTATCTTGCCCCGGATTTCCTCTCCCCGGACTTATGCCTAGGATATACACCTCATAGCTAAAGAAGGCTCCACCTGAGACTTGGTCCTATGTAGAGGCTGGAGACTTCCAAATCAAACTAATGAGGAAGAGAAGTAGCTGACACCAAGATAGACTGCTTCAACCCAAGGCAACACATAAAAACTTCATACTTTCACCTTTTCCTTTACTGTGACATTGGCCTAAAAGGATAATGCCCTCATCTGTATCTCCTAGGCCATTGCTAAGGGGGTTGGTTGTCCTCTGAAATTTACAACAACCTTTTATTTCAGACTATGAGAAAAAGCTAACTGTGCCCCTTAATTTACATCATCAAGTTAGAAAGGACCTACCAGGCTTTCATGGTTCCTTTTTGGCAGGTCCCTACTACCCAGGTTAGGGGTAAATGTAGATCAGGCTATCAGGAACTTCTCAATTCCTGATTTTTATAGAATCTGCTGTTGAAGCACTAGCTCCTCAACAGAGATACTTAAACCCTCTCATCAAAGTTGTCCTTGATCACAGGATGGTCCTTGATTATCTTTTAGCTGAGTAAGGACATTGTCTATACCATGGCCAATGCCACCTGATGTACCTGAGTCAACACTTCTGGGGAGACTGAAACTCAAGTCTGAGACTGAAACATAAGATCACTGAGCCAGCCATTTGGCTTCAAGAGATGACCACTTGGCTCCATAGTGCACTCCAAACACTGGGAATTATCCTGCTTACAGTTATCAAAATAATCTCCCTGGCATGTTATATCCTCTCAAAAGCCTTAATTGCATTAAGCATCTGCTAACTACCAAGCAGATGATCTCCCTGAGACTGGAGCATGGGAAGAGAAGTGAAGTTGGAACAGAAGTGAAAAGAAGTGAAGAGAATGAATGACTGTGAGCCTGGAGTCATGCTGAGAGTAGCTCAGAGATTTTAAAAACAGTCATGACCTACAAGTAGTGACTCCAAAGCATCTTACTGTGTTAATGGGCAGTGACTGTAATGGGGTATGTGGTGGGTACTTGATAATAGGGGGAATGTAGTAACCATAATGTTGCTCATGTGAAACTGAGCATAAGATTTGTATCAATGATACCTTAAAAAAAAAAGTCATAACCTATAAATACCACACAGAAGATCAACAAAAGCTGGGGGACCTAAAGACCAGTAGCTGAGTGGCACTACTTACTGCCTTACATTTTGATCACATCTCTCAGTTAGCCTGAGGTGGGAATTGTTAAAAAAAAAAAAAAAGCCATAGGCCCAAAGTAGGGTCACTTCTGCTAGGCCAAGACATCAAATTAGGGCTTAATACCTTACCTAACTGCATTTCACTTCACCCAGAAATGCAGTCAGTCAGGAATTTGCTGCTCAGCCTCAATAAGATAAGCAAGAATATTTGCCCTTCCCCTAATTCCCTTTGGTGCCCGGATATATTTGACCCCAACCCTATTTTTGGCTTTGCATATCGTTATGTAAATGAAATGTACCCCTTTGAAGTTACATCTTTCTTGCCCACTTCCTGGGGAATATAAAACCTTCATATGACTGTAGCCCCCAGGAACACTCCTATCTATAGAAGTCGTGTCTGCTGGACTTACGTCCTCTGTTTTAGATCAAATAAAACTGTTTATTTCAAGATGACTTTAGTCATCTTTTTGTAGACAGTGAAAAGTAATGAAGTTTGTTTATATAGCCTACTTTGATCTGAATTCCTTCTCTAACTGTAAGGAGGTCTCCTCACTTCCTGGGGCAGGGAGGGCCCCTTTCACATGGGAGATTTATTTCCTGCTTTCTGGAGACTAAGGGGTTTAAGCGTTCTTTTTGCATTGGCTGTTTCTTAAGTAACTTTTAATTTAAAATAATCAATATATGAAAATGGCACATTTTGGGGTGACCTGTTCTTGCTCCCTAACAAGCCAATCATTGCCTAATTCATTAGAAAAAACTGACATCAAAAAGAATAACCTGTAGAATTTTTTTGGAAAAAAAATATCTTCTAGTATGTATCGTAACAGAATAATGGCTTTGTTTATTTAGAAACTGTAATCTGTGCACTGTTCTCCATTCTGAAGAATATGAGATTAGGGACTGAGTCAGATACAAGTTTTATTTCCTTAAAGAGTCATACTTTGTATATATTGGCAATTTCACACATAGGTGTGGTCTGCTGCCTGAAGTACTACTGCCAGTTTAGGGCTTTATTTGCAAGTATTTCTGGAAAGAGGCCTTTCCCTAGACACTCTAGACTGTGCTGGTACTGATCGTAGAGACTTTAGGCACAGTTCTCAAAACATAACACCCACAGAGAAAGAAATAGGCAAGTGAGAATCTGTGGCTTACCCCTTGGACATGCTATGATGGTAGAATATCATCTAACATCTAGATTAACTAGCAATTCTTTCTGGACATGCACATCAGCTCTGTTCTGACTTATGTATACAAAGGGAGTAAATCCCCTAAAAAAGAAAGAAAAAGAAAAAACTGAGACAGAGAAAAGAAAAGAATAATCTCCATATCTCAGGGTTCTATTGAGTTACTGCTGCCCAAAAATGAGGTCCAAGCAATGACAAAGCCACCCACAAATGAAAGCCAAAATGACCGTCTAATCAGATGTGGAAAGATATTGGCGAGTAAGGTGGTTTCTTCTTTATACAATGACGCTTGGAAAATAGAACAGATGGTATTTAAAGAATGTTACAAATACATTCCTCTTCTTCCCAACACCTGGGAGCTAGGTAACACCAGGACACTTTTATCAATAAACAGGGTCTAGAGGAGATAGTTGAGAATGTAGGGAAGGCAAAATTTTACCTCTACCTTCTTAGGGCTTTTCAGCTGCATCTGAAAATTAAACTGACATAAAACAATTAATAGGAGAAAAGTATACACATTTAAATGTTTTAAATGACACAGGAGTGCTCCTAAGAAAATGAAGACCTAAAGAAATGGCTAAACTTTTATATATTTCATATTAGGTTGAACAAAGAAGGACAATTGTGGAAACGTAACTAAGCTAGATGCGGAAGCTAAAGGAATACCAGAATTGTTTCAACAAGGTCTATTTATATAGGATTATCTTGGCTTTGATTCCCCATTGACAAATTTCCCTTCTCATGGCATAGAGAGAGCATCTCTCCTATGGGAGTTTTTATCTCCTGTTTTCAGGAAAAACAGGGGCGATTAGAATACCCTTCTTGCATCTGATGTTTTTTAAGTACCTTTAGCTCAAAATAATCCTTGTGCCAAAGTGGCATATTCTACCACCTTATATGATCTGCCTTATATGATCTACTACCTTACATGATCCTCAAAAGACTTGCAGTCTATAATCTGAGTTGGCAGATTATTCTATTTCTTATCAAATTAGTCTCTTAATGTTGAGTATAAATCAATTCATTTACACAGTTGTGTCTTAGTTCAGGTGGCACTGGCATAGGTGGGAGTAGCTTTTCAGCTAAGTTAGGTCTCTGTATGATGGGAATGGTCATTGGAAACTTCATTTCTGAGTCCAGAGGACAGCCAGTTGAGAAGATTTCTAGGAGCTTCTTTAGGTGGTACAATGATGGCAGCTATAATTTGATGAATTCCCTGGTTTGTAGCTTGAATGTCCCGGTTATGGCACTGGATGTTGTGAAATTTCTGAGTGGCCCACACAGCAGTAGACATGAAGGCTGTTTGCATATAATCTGTTGTAGTGATTTTTCTGATGTTTATATTAAGTCACCTAGCTTTAGTTTGTAGAACTTGGGTAAAAGGATAGTTTTAGTCCTTAGTGATTTCAAGTGAGAAGGGTGGGAGAAGAATTGGAAATGTTAGTTAGGAGAGTTACAGCCATATAGTGGGGGACACCAGAAGAATTCAGTATCTGGACCGATTTAAAGGTAGCAAAACCCTGAAGACAATGAACAACAGCTAGAATCTAATAATCAGAAGAGTGGGTTATAGCTTTTCATTGAAATAAATTTTTCTGTCTAGGATCAAATCCATTTTTATTAAATATAATTACAGTAAGACTATTTTGTTTGTAAAAGAAGTTTAGTCTCATTAAACTTGGCCTGATTATTTATATGTTATTTTGTAAGACTAGAGATAGATCATAATGTGCTTTTAAAAACGCATTGTTAGAACTTCAAACAAGGAATCATAGAGCCTTTAAAACCCTTTCAAGGCTAAGGAGCCAAGTCAAATATTCATCATCAGACTTAGCCTGTCACACCCATAGAATTGGGTGAGCCCCTCTTTTCTGGAGGTACTCAATATATCTTAAGTTTCTTGGGCTTTCCAGGAAGTATCATGCCTTACTCATTTGTAGGGCTGGGAACCTTGTAAGCAAGGTATCATACTGGTATTTCAAGGGGCTTTATAAATTGGCTCCATAAATTCAACTTTAGTTACTTAAATCTGCCCAGTCACATTTGAGTCTATGTACATCATTGCCAAATATGACATTACAGTCAAAGTCTTGATAATATAACCAATGTTTCCAGTTTTGTTCTAAAGAGAACAGATTCTTCCTGTACTTATGCAAACAACTGTACCGCCCTGAATGAGAATATGAAGAGTTTCCAAACTCTGGAGGGATCAGGAAGAGAGAAAAAGGTGTTTTAATTTTTATTTACCAAAGTATAATCTATCAAATTGTTGTAAATTACATAGCTTAAGAGGAGAAAAAGAGTTTTCTTAAATCTGCAAAACAAAACTTTAAAGGACCAGTAGTGCTATAAACAAAAAGCCATAAAATTATAATCATCCTCCTTATTAGTTCATTAAGTCCCACCTAACTACTTTTTGTTTGCTTGATCTCAAGTTAGCAGTTTTATGAATCAATCAGTTTCTTCATTAGAATTCTAGAAATTCTTCTCCAGTTTACTGATGTGATCTTAGAATGATCAGAAACCTATATTATACAGCAATTGTCATGTTCTTTTCTTTGGATCCTTGAAGATGAAGCATTTTTGCCTATAGTTGGTTGTAAATGTTTCCAGAGAAGAACCAAGAGTAAAACAGTAATTGCTCATGAATGACAAAAAACTTAAAAATAGCCAAGGTTAAAGATCTGGGGAAATTAAGTATAAAATACAATATAATTCATAAGGATATTCGATTATTTCTGTGACATACAATGCTTTCAAGTAATAATTGGAATTATGACAGATTATATGGACAATCAGGCATTGACAATTTCCTGGAATTTTTTACAATATTTAAAATGTTGATAATATATACACATACAAATATAGCCTAAAGAAAGTTAATCATCACTTTCATTTGACAACGTTTCCCATGTAATTTAACAAATCAAATAAGCTAATAAATTTAACGTCTCTCATTTTATAAGGAAAGAGAACAAATCTTTTGAGATTTTCAGGAACCCTCTGGAAAATGCCAGAGTTAGTTCAAAGTCAAAAGACTTCATTTTGAATTTGATTTTGGGAACTTTGTCAAAAATGTCAAAAGGTTAAAACACTTGTTTAAGTAATAACTTAAATCAATTTAAGGTCACTGTGAAACAAGCAGTATATAGGTCACTGTGAAACAATACTTAGTTATCCATCTAATTAATCAAAGTGACAAAAGATTTTAAAGGCAAATACAGAGAGTTATATTGTTATTTAAAAAACCCTCAGCTTCATTAATATTGAAGACTCCATTTTCCTCAGTTATTAAAAACCTGTTAAAGACAATAGGAAGCACAGGAAATTATTTTGATAAGACACAGAATCTTTGTTTCCCTGGTAGATCACACAAAAGGTAACAGAAAACTTTAATAATCTCTTATTGAGAGTAGACCAATAATCTAAGAAACTGTCATTTTAATGGAAAATTAAACTCTAGTTTTATGTCAGTACATTATTGAGCTCATTTAGCCAGCTTTGACCTTGCAACATAAAATTTATTTTCTACAAATATTCTGCAATTTTCTTTATCCAGTTAGATTTTGTCTCATTCCTCTTCTTTTTCTCATTCTGGAACATTTAGTCATTTTACTTTAGGACAAAATTACTCTTTTTTCCTTACCAAAAATCATCCTCTACATTCCTTGTATATTCTTCTATAAAACACATCCCATTTTTCTCCCATAGTTTGTATACCAAGTTATTTTCCTTTTCTGTTATCATTTTTAGTAGTTGTATTTTTATATACAGATTATAAATTTTAACCATAAGTAACCTTTATTTTCTAGTGAAAATTAGGAAGCAATTGTAAACTGTCATATATTAGCATCCTGTATTAAATTAGTAAATTTATGAATATATAATTATACAAATATATAATTTTTAGATATATATGCCTTTTTATAGCACAATTATTTTTAATTTGTCAAAGGATATGATTACTAACAGATCCAAATATCTTCTTTCTCTCTGTAAAAATTAAGAAGCCAAAATAGATAAATTAATGTTTTAGTGTATTATCTTATTTGGAAATGATCTAAATATTCAATGAATATTCATCATTTAACTTAACATAACTTCAAGGTTTCATATTTCCAAAAAGACTTTGGAAACTTTAAGTACAGTACTTTGTTTAAGGACACAAAGCTAGCATACTCTTATTTTTCTTGTAGATAAATCTGACAAATATTTTTTTAAAAAATCACAGAAGAACTAACTTATTTTATACTGATGTGTTTGACATCCATCAAGCAATTTATTTTTATTGTATGTCTTGTATATCTTGTTTTTAAATTGAATTATAATTTTACAATTTTAAACATCTAATGGAGATAACATAACTCATTTGACTAGCAAACCCAAGTAGAAAAAGTTGCATGTCTTCATAAGATTTAATGTCTACAACTCTGAATGCATGACTGTTTTTATTAGACCAACAAACTTAAACTAGCTTTTATTTACCAAAGATTATCTCAGTTCCTGTGAACTTGAGAAACATTTGGGTTAGTTTTTATATTTCTGTGAGTTTTAGGAACACTTCATTTATATGATCACTAATTTTTTTAAACCAATTAAGTAGAGCTCTTTTACAAAGTAATTCTGGCAATTATCACCCAGAAGTAGAACAATATCACATTACATAACATATACACCTAGCCATATTCAGACAGATGCAGAAAGAGATCTGGTTTTCATTTTAAATCTCACCCATGAGTTAGGTATAAATACAGAAACACAAAACTTACTAACTTATATTAGAGTTATTAGAACATTGTAACAATAGAACACTTATTTAGGATGAGAGCTCAATAGTCAAATATTCAAAATATATTTACTTTAATTGTGACTCAAAACCAATAAGCATTTTTATAGCTTAAAAACAATAAGCCCTTTATGGTTTAGCCTTGGACACAAAAGATATCCCCTCAAAGAGTGTAAAAGATGCTGCCTCCCAAGATCCATCACTTTCATGCCCAGGGTTAGCCTAAGAATGCAAAGATCTTTATTGTCACAGGTAGTACTAGTAGTGTTTGCAAAACTGGTATCTCATTTCCTAGAAGAACTGAGATGCCTCCAGCTATGGACCAGCTCATCTGTGGTACTAGGAGGGTGATATTAGGATGACGGTTTCCAAACACTATGAAGATGATAAGGGTTAGACCAATCAGGTCCCTTATGGACTCATTAAGACAAACTTCCCTAAAAGCTGCAAGGTTGGAGAAAGATAATGTTGCTTGTCATTTTGTGTCCTGGGTTTCCAGCCTGTTTGGCTGGTTAACTGACTCAAGCCAAAACTTGTATCCCATGGTTGACACAGACCAGAGAGAACACTCCCGCTGATCATAAAGCCAAACCCTCAAGGCATAAAACACGATGGAAAGGTCTTATGATTTTCCTCCTTATAACAAATACCACAAAGGAAACAAAAAGTAAGAGACTGTGGATCATAACCCATGGGTACCCAGAACCAAAGAGTCATACTTCAAAGAAATACTTTTTACAAATGTTTTTCTCTTGCCAATCTACAATAGAAAGTGAAAAAGATAAGGAGAGACTTTTATTACTCTATTACTTTTGTTTTAGCTGGGCTCCACAGGCAGAGATCTGAGAGAATGATGTGCTAAGAATTCTTACCTTCTGATGGCTTTTTGTCAGATGTCCCAGGATCTCTCAGTGTACTAGCCATTCAATTCCCAGCCTTGCCATCAGAAACCATAGGGAAGGCAACATTTTACCACTACATTCTCATAATTTTTCAACTGCACCTGAGAATTAAACTGACACAAAATAGATTAATTGGAGAAAGTATACATATTTACATGTTTTACATGACACAGGAGTGCTCACAAGAAAATGAAGACTTAAAGAAATGGCAAAACCTATAGGCTTTCTTATTAGGTTGAACAAAGTAAGGCAATTGTGAATAAGAAACTAGAAGGGGAGGCTAAAGGAATACTAGAATTATTGTAACAAGGTCTATTTATACAGGATTCTCTTGGTCTTGATTCCCCACTGAAGGATGTTTCTTTTCTCATGTCATAGGGAGGGCATCTCTAATATGGGAGTTTTTATCTCCTGTTTTCAGGAAAAACAGGGAAGATTAGAATAGCCTTCTCACATCTGCTGCTTTTTAAGTGCCTTTAGCTCAGAACAACGCTTATGCAAAATGGCACATTTTGGGGTGCTATAAGAACCAAAGAGTCAATGGTCAGACACAAGAAATGATTTAGAATAGCCAAGAACATAGCAGCTCCATTTTTGTTCCATCTAGATTAAAGCTGTTGAATAATTGTCTGATGATTCACCACCAAGTGAAAACAAAATTTATTTCACAGATCTCTGAAACGATATTAGACATTAAGTTTCACCCTTTTTTATAGATGAGGAAATGAAGCCACAAATACACGACTTGTGTGTACTTGCTCAGCAATCGACGTACCAGTAGAAATGTTAGAAACTTGGCAGAAATTTTTTTTCTAACAACAGGCTTTAAATATCTATTTAAAGCTGACCAATCCTGGATGTCATAAATGAGTACAAGGCAAGACAGAGATCACCAAATGAATTGCAGAAAATAACTGCCCTCACTAGAAACTTGGCTCTCTTGAAAAGGGTTTGAAAATTTCTCCTGAAACTCTGCACTATGAAAGTAAGCATCTCTGATGCATTCTGGATAGCTGTGACGGGTCTCCACTGCATCTACAAAGAAAGTTGTGTTCCCTTTAGTTTTGTCAAAACAGACATTTTCATGTGAAACAGTTACTTTTGAATAGTTCACACTCTCCTTTGTCATGAAATCTGTAAGCATAAAGCATATTGAAAATGACTGATTCCATGACTTCTGTTAGAGATATTAAAATTCTTTGCTACTTATTGTCGGAGGTACAAAGATGTATGAGGACAACGCAAAATGACTTGACTTTATTTTGAAGGATGCAAATGTGGTATAGTAGGAAGATTATGGAGTTCGCCATCAAATAGATGTAGATTTCAATCCTCTTCTGCCACCTAACAATTGTGTGACTTGGGCAAGTTAGCTGTCTTATTGAGTCTCAAGTTACTCTTCTATGAAATTCAGATGAACAGATGAATGCTTGCATAGGGTTGTTGTGAAGACAGAGTGAAGAATCTCATCAGTACTGTGTTAAGCAAGACATTGACAAAAAAATACATGAGTTAGAAAATGATACATGGCATAAGTGTTTCCTCACAGCAGCCAGAGGTAGTATCTGCATAAAATAATTAATGCTTGAGCTTGTCTGTTTTTAAAGAAGTTATAAAATTCTGAGGGATAAATAAATAGCTGTAACTACATTATATATAGCATATGTGTTTTGGTACTTATTCCTATATATTATCTCAGTAATATTTGATATCTCTCTTCAGGCTATAAACTATAATAGTACATTTTTGGCTTTGTGTTATTTACCTTCACTTACAGAACTGTGTTTCTATAGCAAGGAACAAAAGCACATATAGGTGTTCCATATTTGAATAAAATTACAATGAAGTTAACTCCAATATACGGCAGCTCAATTTTCAGGGCTCCTGTTGAAGGAAGGTGGGAAAACATCAGAATGAATGATTACTTTTTTGGTATTACATTTTATAGGTTTGACTCTGGACAAAATCCTTCACTGCCCTGTGTGAAGGCTATTAATCACTCACTTTCTGTAGATATATGAATTCTTTGAATTCACTCATGAATGATGGTGCATTATGAAGGACACTGGCCATAACGATTCACATCTTGGAGTGTGAATCGTTACTTTAAGTCCTCCTCTGGAGAGCACACTGCCCATCTGTGGGGGTCTTTGCTGGAGGCACATGTTACATAGACATTGACTTGAAACAAATGAGATGCCATTATGCTCGCAACCTTATTTTTAAAAATCATAATGTACTATTAAACAATTACTTAATTTCTTCATGTGTTTTCTTCAGAAGTATTATGTTTCTGTATTTGTATATAGTTTTTTTTATTAAAGTATCATTGATACACAATCTTATGAAGATTTCACATGAGCAGCATTGTGGTTACAACATTCACCCATATTATCAAGTCCTCCCCCACACCCCATTGCAGTCACTGTCCATTAGTATAGTAAGATGCTGTATATAGCTCTTTTTAAAAAAAATCAAGATATTTGCACAACATTTAAATATTTATAATCAAAGTGTTCTCCAGAAACAATGCCTAATTGCATATGGTATGCTGATAAACCTTAGCAGTGGTTAACTTAGCTCCATGTCTTCTAAGATGCCTGGAAATTCCCTAGGCTGGCTTAGCTCCTCTTTATATGCAGTCCTTCATCTGGCATTATACTGGTGATATGTTTATGTCTGTCTCCCTATTAACAACCTACAGCTTCTATAAAACACTGTCTTACCTAACTTCATGTGCCTAGTCCAGGGACAAGTACTTTAAAGTTTAAAGGAATTTTTCTGAATTGACAACTTAATGACTAAATTAATAAATATGAATCCTGTAATCTTTAACTGTTTTGTCACTGGTACCTCTTCACAGGCCCACAGTGCTTATGTTTGTTTTAGGGGTATTATTATTGGCCCGCTTCTAAGCAGTGTTTCACCTGGCCCTGGACATTTCAAAATTCTGCTACTGGACTGGGTTCTAGGCATACGCATCTTGCCCAACCTAGTGCCTGAACCTGGAGGGTAAGCAGACGTGTTAAGCTTTTGTGTTCTGTGCCCTCCCCCCAGGAATGACTGTACTTGGTCGGTGCTGGACCTTGAGTTCCTCCAGGGCAGAAGCCATGTTATTCAAGTTAAAATTTAGGTCAGCCACAAACTAGGCAGCTCAGTAACCTTTTGTAATTAAAATAGGAGTGCAGCTGGGTGCAGCACCATGTGCTTTTGTGCTACCGACAGGGCCAGGCACTGAAAGAAGCACTAAATACTCAGAGAAAAATCACTGGACCCTCTTGGCTCATCCTTATAGTAACCACTCCGTATATGTTATTCGCCATGCCAGAAGCTTTCACTCATTTTAAATTCTCACAATTCTTTCACTTTCTTCCTATGGTTTGTAGTTTTGAATGATAACTAAACCTGGTAGGATTGTTTATACCATGAGTCTCACAGAGCCTAAGGTTATGGTAATGTTACTACACAGTTACTCTCACAATCCTTTCGTTAGGCAGAATAGAAATGAGTGAGGCAAGTAAATCTCACTAAAAGAGACTCAAAGCGTTAACCAGATGATAGAGCCTGGACAGGAGTACCGCCTTTTTGAATAAGCCCACCCATCATCTCAGAGAGACCTAGGTTTCATCTTACTTAGGCTACAAGCATTTTCCAGAGGACACGTCAGCAAGCCACAAGCCCACCTTTTCCTTGACCCAACCCCTCAAAAGCCTGCCAAAAAAACTGGCCATAAAAAGCTTCTTAGCCTGTAAGAGCTGCCTTCTTTGTTCTGCTCCCATAACAGAGAGGTTCCTCTCAGGTTTAGCAATAAACCTGCTTGGACTGTTGAGTTTGCTTCCCTTCTTTTCCTTTTATCTGGTGCTGAAACCTGGGAGTGGGAGCCAAGAGCAGGAGCTCTTTTGCAACCTAGGAGGCAGTGGGCAGTGGCAGCTTGTCCCAGGCTATCTCCTAGATCCTGAGAGCCTTCTGTGTCTCCCCCTGTTTCCCTTCCCTCCCTTACCCAACACCCCCCTTGCAAACTCCACTGCAGGGATTGTCCTGCCAGACCTCAATCTACACATCCACCACTGGCCACTAATCCATCGCCATTCCCAGGAGAGTAAGACTTTGGCCTCATTGGCTTTCTCTTGGCGCCTAGAGAAAGTTGATCCGTAGTCCCGTTTTCCCCTTTATTCTTTCCCTTCCTCTCTGTTCTCCATTTCAGAACACTATAACAAAAGGGGACCTCCTGCACTCTAAGTAGGGGGTATGCTTCATTTCAGCATGCAGAACAATCTCTTCTGGCTCTGGGAGCCCACAGACTCCAGTTGGGAAGCCGATTGCTGGGAGATGTCCCGGTGGCCTGTTTCCCAACTTTGGCCACCTTTTCTCACCCTCCTACGATGGGCAATTCTCCCTCAAAAAGCATTGGAAGACACTCCCCTCAGCTGTCTCCTACATAATCTTTCCAAATTGGGATTAAAAAAAGACATTAAACCAAAAAATTGATCTTTTACTCCACTTTCGTGTGGCCCCAGTATAAACTTGATAATGGGTCATGCCGGCCAGCTGAGGGCACTTTTGATTTCCAAGTTCTCCAAGATCTTGATAACTTATTCCAGAGGACTGGCAAATGGTCAGAGGTTCCCTAAATCCAAGCCTTCTTCACCTTCCGCGAGCAACCCTTCCTTTGTTCCTCCCTCTCCTGTCTTCAAATCCTTCTCACAGAAAAGCCCCTAAATCTCCTCCTGCTGAACAAAAACCCTCTAAATTTCTCATCAAACTACCCTGACAACACTGTGCCTTTACCCCTTTCTTCCCTCCTCTGCTGACAAGCTCGACCCGGCTGGCAACCCTCTGCCCTATCGTTCCCCTCCTCCCCAACAGCCTCAGCAAAGTCCAAATCTCTACCCACCATTGGCTCCCCGCCCCCAACACCCCTCCCCCACTCCTTTCCATATTCCCCAGCCTGTCTACCTTTTAACCCAACCCCCTCTCCAAACCATCCCTTTCCCCAACTCAGACACTCTCACTCTCGCTTCCCACCCAATACCTCCCAGACCACTTCCCACCCTCTCCCACCCCTCCATGTCCTCCAGGCATTGAAGGGCCTGTTCATATTCATGTCTCCTTTTCAATTAATGATCTGGAGTGTATTGAACAAAAGATGGGTCCTTCTCAGAAAATCCTGATAAATTCAGGAGAGAGTTCCTCCATGTTACTCAAATGTATGACCTCACTTGGGGGGACATTTACCTCATCCTCTCATCTACCCTCACAGATAATGAGAGGGAACACATTTGGTGTGCGGCCAAAAATCAGGCTGACGAGTTGCACCACCAGCACCCAGCCAATCATGCTCTGGCAGCTTGAGTGGTCCCCAGGGCTTAGACCCAAAACCCTGAATGAATATACCAATTCGTGACCCTGGTAGAGCAGTTGTGATCACATGATTACTGACCTCCTGGCAGGGATGGAAATAAACAGGTCAACTAGGAGCACCTCAGAGAAATTACCCAGGGGGCAGATGAAAACACAGCCCTCTTTATGAATCGCCTTTCAGAGGCCATGATCAAATACACAAACACCAGCCCTAATCCTCCTGAGGGTCTCATTCTCCTAAACCTCCTCTTCATGTTTCAGTCTTACCCAGATATTCGTAAAAAGCTCCAAAAATTAGAAAATAGACCCCAAACACCCCAAGAAGAGCAATAAATCATGGAACATTCAGTTCCTATGTCCACCAGGGCCAGGACACACTGCATATTAACTGGGAACTAATAAATATCATTCTACATGTGGCCTCTCATCCCCACATTGTCTCCCAAGGTGGGGGCCTTAACCCTCCCTTCAGTTGAACTGTAACACCCAATTTTCATCCTGTGGGAGTGAGGGCCCAGGAGGAGCCTGACTACTGTTCCCCAGTAAGTCTTGCAGGGACCCTCACATGGACAGTTTTTCTCCAGGGATTTTGGAACAGCTCCCACTTCTTTGGCCAAGCACTACAAAAGGACCTCTAAACTCTCAAACTTGCCCCTAGCCACCTGCTCCAATATGTGAATGACCTCTTGCTTTGCAGCCCCTCAAAAAAAAAAAGATTCTATATTCTACACTATCTCCCTTCTTAGATTCCTAGGGAAAAAGGGATACCATGTCTCAGAACACAAAGCTCAACTGGTACAGCAAAAAGTCACCTACCTTGGTCTTGACCTTACCCCTACCACATGCTGCATACCCACTATCAGAAAACAAGCTATTAATAATCTCCCTTTCCCCACCATAAAGTGAGATCTTCTTTTCTTCTTGGAGCTTCTTAGCTATTTCAGACTCTGGATCCCAAATTTCTCATTCAATGCAAAATCCCTTTATGAGGCCTCCCACAGGGATCCCCAAGAAAGGGTGCCAGAGATAGACTTAATTCCTGCTTCTTTCTGGGCCCTTAAGCAAGCACTCCTCAAGGCACCTGCTTTAACTCTACCTAACCCCAATAAACCTTTCCTTCTATTCTTAACTAGCAAAAAGGGACAAGTATTAGGGCTACTCGCACAATCAGCCGGGTACTCTCTCCAGCCTGTTGCGTATTTGTCCAAACAACTTGACTTTGTGATAAAATGCTGGTCTCTCTGCTTACAGGTCCTAGTGTGAGCTGTACTCCTTATCCCCAAAGCCCAAAAGAAAAATTGCCATCCACCAGCCCCTACAGGTACACTTGTCACACAACCTCTCTGCCCTTCTTTGCCAGTGGGCTCTTTTTTCTCCCTGGCCTGATTCCAAGTCTTACACTCTCAGCTTTTACAACCCTCAGTTACCTTCTACCTCTCTGGCCCCATTAGCCTTTATCACCCTCCTCCTTCTCCTTTTCCTTCCCTGCTTAATTAACTTATTCCAAAGATTTTTACAGGATCAAATGGCAGCCATCTCCCAGGCAACTACTCTAACGGCCTTCCTACTTCAAAATATCAGAAAATCCCCTTCATTGCTCCCTCACAGCAGGAAGTAGCCAAGAAAAGAATGGCGACCCATCTTCCTATACCCCTTTAGAGCCAGGAGTGATAGTACCACTTCTGTGAATAAGCCCACACACCATCTGAGAGAGACCTAGGTTTCATCTTACTTAGGCTACAAGCATTTTCAGGAGAACATGTCAGCAAGCCACAACCCACCTTTTCCCTGACCCATCCCTGCAAAAGCCCACCAAAAAACCTGACCATAAAAAGCCTCTTAGCCTGTAAGAGATGCCTTCTTTGTTCTGCTCACTAGAACAGGGACCCTCTCAGGTTTAGGAATAAACTCGCTTGGACTGTTGAGTTCACATCCCTTCTTTTCCTTTTACTAGATAAAACTAGAGAGCCAGAAAAGACAAGAGTTAATGAGTAAATCACTTGAAGCTCCAAAGGCCAGGAGTAACTTGAAATATCCAGCTATTCTCCAGATAAAGAAAAGTATCAGAGCACATAGCCCATGTCTTCTTTGTGTCAATAGATCATGCTATAGTAAGATTTATTTTAGCCTACTAAAAGGCCCCGCTTATTCTTTAACTTAACCTATATGCTGTTTTTTTCCTCTTCCAGCCCCTAATCAAGTAATTTGCAACCTGGGCAGGAGACAAGCACCATGATTAATTTAGCAAACAGGCCCTGGTATAAACAGCATAGTAAAAACAGGAAATATTCCATCTTAAAGCTGAGATTGCATTTTAAAACCCAGGAAGTTAAGAGGTAAGATTCTTAACCTATTCTTTAGCAAACAGACAATAACTCAGCCCACCTTGGAGGCAGGGCAGGCAGTCTTGACTGACATGTTCCCAGAGGGAAGTTGCTAGCTGCAGAGGAATGGGATCAGTAAATTTCTTGTGTTAAATTAATCCTGCAGAATTACCTAGAAGACTAATAATAGAAGAGATGTAATGTCTCTCATGAATGATAAACATCTTGAAACCACTTAACAAGTCCACACCCATAGCCCTTTTGTCACATTCCTGAAAAATCCTTAAAAGAGGGAACCCCTAATCTTTCAGCACACCTCTGAGGTAACCCATACTCCCTTTTCTCTGAGTGTGCACCTTTTTGCCTTAAATGAAACTTTTTCTCAGTCTTTCAGGGCGCACCTCTCTGCGGTCACCTACACATTCTCTCTATAAATAAAACTTAAATGTGTTCAGAGCACCTCTCCTCCCTGAGGTCACCTGCACTTTTTCTCTAATGTGTAACTTTTAAGTAAAACTTTTACTCTGCTGCACTACGCTTCTCTGCCCTTCAATTCTTTGTTGCACTGGGGACAAGAACCAAGGAAAATAAGCAACACCCCCCAACACTTTTATCATTTTAAAAACTGAGATATTATACATAAGTGTGCTGAATGCACTAATTAATTACACGGCTCGATGAATTTTTACGTATGTATACACCTCTGTATACCATCTAGATCAAGAGGCAGACTCCCATCCCCCGCAAGAAGTAATCATTAGCCTAACTTCTCTCACCATTTGTAAGTTTTGGACGAAATTTTAGAGAAAGTGGAAAGTGTAATGATTTGGCCCAGCATCCCTCGGGGCTGAAGAAGATGCACACTTTACTGCCTTCCTAAAGGGCATCGCGCGGAGGTTGCACGGGTGCACAGAGCGACGGCTCCGCTCTCACCCGAAGCAGCCCCTCCAAAAAGCTCGCCGGGCCCCCACGTTGGCAGTGCCGAAGCAGCCACAATGGCTGCCCACCGTCTCTGGCTACGGCCTCCCCGCAACCTCCCCATCTTTCCAGTGGACGCGGTGGGGGGCCGGGCGTGGCCCTCCGCGCGACTTGCCAGAACACGAGCCGCCAGGGGGGCGCTCCTGAGCCCGGGATGTGGGGCGCGCGTCCATTGGCTGAATTCCCCCCCGCCGGCAGGCCGGCCGGCCAGCGGCGGAGCCCACCTACCGGCTCTCTCTCCGCACTCCCATTGGCCGTTCACGTCCGACCCCAGCCCATTCCCGCCTCCCTTCAGTCCTGAAGGAAACGGGGTTGGCGGGTGGGAGGCCGAACCAGCGCCGGGGGTGAGCGATCGTCCAGGCAAGGGGGCGCGAGAGACAAGACAGGCCAATCAGAACGAGACATGGAGAAGAGACCCCCCTCTCCCTCGAGCCAACCAATCACATCCCTAGGTCCGGGTCGGGGTCGACTGACGCGAGTGAGGGCAGCAGCCAATGGGCGTGCCGCTGCCCGTCCGATCTCAGCAGCCGGTCCGGGGCGGTAGAAGAGCAAGTGAGGAGAGCGCGCGGTGGCGGGGGAGCCATCGCTGGATTGCCACGGGAAAGCGAGGCCGGAGCCTCTGCGTCTAGGTGAGAGGCAGGGGTGCAGAGCTGGAGAGGCCAGGCCTGCGGGCCCCTCCTCGCCGAGCCGGGCCGCGGCTTCGGGAGCGGCAGCGGCGGGTCGGCCGAGGTAGGAGGAGACCCGCCACTCCGTCCCCGCCCCCACGTTGGGCGGCTCAGTGCTCGGGGCTCCGGCATCAGCGCAGGTGGTCACTGCGCGGTTTGGCCGGGCCGCCGCCCTCCAGAGGGCCGGGACAGAGTTCTGGGAACGTGGAGAGGGGCCTAGTTTGCAGTCGCGGAGCCTGGGGGCGCTGCCTGGGGTGGGGAGTCCGCGTAGAGGTGGCGAAGGTGGGGCAGGGTACTAAACCGAGGAGTGGGCTGGTGTGCTCCAGTGTGGCAGTCAGAAGAGGCCTGTGATGGAAGGATTTCGGGTCTGGGGAGAAAGGATGTAGTGGGTAAAGGGGGATGCTCAAAAAAGTGTGCCCTGGGAGAAGGTGCGGAGCCGGGGAGTGTGGCTGGCTTCTTGGAAGTAGGCATTGATAGAGGGTGGGGGAAAATCAGCTGGGGGTGAAGGGAGAACAGGTTTGGGTTTTGAAGGTTAAGATTTCTGTACGAAAGGGGACACGTGGATCTGAAGTAAAAGCACCTACTGAAACCGGAAGGTGACAGAAGGTTTTAGACGAGATATGGATGGAGGCTGTTTGACAAGAAGGCGTTAGGTGGCCAGTTAGAAATTACATAGAAAGTGAACAAGGTGGATTTGTGTATGGTAACTGAAGGGTGTGGATCTTTTACAAGTAACTCCGTCTTGGTGGAGACAGGAGAGTCGAATGGCTTAGGCTGGAGTCACAGTCAGCTAGGTTTATAGGTTCATTCACTACTCATTGAAGGCCAAACACTTAGAATGAGCTCTTATTACTGAGGCTTATCCGCCTGGAACAGTTCATCTAATTGTTTTGCCTCAGCAGCACACAAACTTACCCTCAGAAATAATGGCACAAGTATTCTTTTCTTTTGATTGGATGGTATTGAGGAATCACTTAATTCTTTGTATTAAAAAAAGGAATGTGTTGATTTAAAGGCAGCATCAGATGATAGTTTCAGAAAACCTGTCCTAGTGGGGAATTTCTCAGCTGTCTTGTTGGGCAGTGTAATACAGCATAAAAATGACGCAAGGTATCATACAATAACACAAGCAAGAATCAACATAAAAGTAAAATCCTATTATTCTTTAGGATTAATCATTTTGATGTAGTAGAATTTGGTTAAGTATCATGCTTGTTGGGAAACCTTTGAGCCTTGGGAAGAGTTTTGTAGCTAAGTAGGTTCAAAGTTTTTTTCGCTTAGAGTAAAGGAAGTTATGGTACGTGTGTACCAGTGCTACTGCCTTTCTGCTTGAAGATTTTGAAATTTTATTTGTGGGTTGTGGGCAGAGAAGAGGTAGTAGAAAAGAAAGTGACCCACTACCACATTTACAATGGATTTAAATGGGAAGAGGTGATAGGCATTGAAGTATTTCTGCTTGCGGATAGGATGTAAGGATTGTGAAGAGTTAAGTACCTCTTGACAAATAAAATAGTACAGTGCCAAGGACAGATATCAAAGAAGGCATTTGTTGTATAGGATGTTTTCTTATTAACCAGGTCAACAGAGTATTATAGCTAATGGATCATTCTTTAGGATGTAGAAATAATTTTGTGGAAGTTAATTTCTTGGTATTGCTGTTCACTGATCACATTTTAGCTTAGTATTAACAGTATCTAAATACTGAGGCAACTGAGAGAAGTAATCCAGGTGGTGTAGAGTTAATCTGGGGTTTCCTGGAAGAGGTGAGTTGTGAGCCATCTTTTGAACTAGGAATTGGGATATGGGTTATCAGAAGACATGGGAATGACATTTCAGTAGTTTGAACGTTCTATAAACAGCTGTGGACAGAGTGACAAAAATTATTTTTAAGGAGGATTGAAAATTTGAATGAAGATTTAAGGGTGTAGAAATCAACCAAGTCTGTTGTAGCATAGTTGAAAAATGATGTTTCTGTCTGGTGGCTAGGAGAGAAGTTGATGATGGATTGAAGATAGATAAAGGAGAGCACAAAATTTTTTTTTGATAGTTACAATAAAGAGAATATGGTGAAAATAAGTCGGTTATTGAGAAGTAGGTTTGGAGTTCAGTTATATATATAATAATCAGAAATCTTTTTGAGTCCTGTACTAGATTATGTTGATGATAATAGCAAAATTTATTGGGTGTTACTTTTTGCCTGAGACTATTTTGAACTTTCCAAGCATCATCTTCCTTTGATTATCCCTGTTTTATAGATGAGGGAACTGAGCTTCAGAGAGATTAAATTTGCCCAAGGTCACACAACTAATTAAAGTGTCAGGTCAGGTTTGGCAAAGTCAATCAATAAACATTAGTTTACTATAAAGCAGTTGAGCTTCACTTCATGGCAGGCACTGTGGGAAGTGCTGGAGATTCAAAGTTGACAAGCAAATCGAAAGGTCAGGCCTGAGTCATTTTTTACAGACGGTTGTTAACAGGAGAAAGCCAGTGAAGAAAGAAAAAGTTGGAGAGTCTTTTGTAGACACTGAGGAATGTACCTTTTAGGAAACCTTAGGATAGAAAGAGTTTTTAGAAAGAGGAAGTGGTCAGCAGCAAAATACCTAACTGAGGATTCAGAAGAACAAAAATTGAGAGATGTTGAATTAAGTAAGGAAAAAATAATGTGAATTTAGTCAGAAGAACACTGGAATGAAGATATTAAGATATAGGCTGATAGTTAATCATGTTTAATGGCAGGGGCTCTGTACAAATTTAAAATTTGGTATCACAGTAGTAGTCAAATTCATAGGCAAGATGTTGGAAAGTCACTTTGTAATATTTAATCTTTGGCTGGTAAGATCATGGGTAATTTAAAAATGCTCATACTTTTTGTATTGTTTCAAGTTTACAAAAACATCATTTTTATAATTAGTGGGGAAAAACAGCTGAATTGAGCTAATGGTGAGGGAATTTGGGTGGGCTAGCATGAACTATGTTTTGGAATAGGTATTTTATTTCAGAGCTTACTACACATGAGCAACTTTGGTGGGCATATTCCCATCTTAGAAATGACTGGGTTGTTACTATTGGAAACGTCCGGAAACTGCACGTAGAAAAGATGGCCTTTGCTTAAGGCATCAGATTACTAAAACGCCCAGAATCATGGAAATACAGTCTTGGGTCTCCTGAACATTGTTTTCTAGAGTTTAATAAATGAATTTAAGGTAAAAAAAAAACAAACCAAACTACTCATAAAATTGAGTCGTCTTAACTGTGTCTTTAGACCTTATATTCCTCCCTCTTCCCACACATCGGTTCTGTATAGTTTCTCTCTTCAGTAGGTTTATAATGAGCTAAGAGTCTCAGCTCATAAGACAATGTGAAAGTGCTGAATTTACACATAACTATTTTAAGCACTTAAAATTCATCAGTTTTCTGTTCCCAATTTGAAGAAGAGACAAAAATACAAGGAACTAAGCATTTCTTATCAAATAATTCTTCCAAAGCAGGATTTACCTGAGGATCAGTGCACATTTAGTCCAGTCTCTAAAGTGGAGAGAGGAGTTTTTTGTAAGTCAAGAATAGGATCTAATTTTAGTTTAATTTCATGTGGCCCATAGGGATTGTGGGAGGAAGCTTAGTATTACATCTAGGCACTATATTATGATCCTTAAATAAATTATTCCATTTAATTGTCATACAGTTTTCTGAGGTGGAGTTCCTCCTTTACAAATGGAGAAAATGAGGCTCAGAGAAGTTAGTAACCTTCCAAAGGTTGGAGAGTCAAAGTGTTAGAGCTGAGATTGAAATCTTGCTTTGTCGAACTCTAAAACCCATGTATGTGAGACAGATGAGGAGAAGGACTTGTTTATATTAATACCTACAATTGAAAAAAATATCACATAACATTAGGTATTTAGTAACTGTTTGTTACTTTAGAAGATTGGACTCCTGCTCTGTGTGTTTGTGCTTTGTGACACTGGCTTTTAAATGATAGTGATTTTTGCATGTCTTGCAAAGTGCATTATCTTATACTGAGAGATGTGTTTTCACATTTTACTATTTGTGAAAGGAAGATGTATTTTACAGTGTCTTTCTATTTCTAAATGTTTAGGAAATGGATACTATGTCTTAAAGTCAAATGTGTCTCAAAATTGAGGAAGTGTGGTGCTCATATAGTCTTCATGTATAACTGTCTTAGCAGTTTGTTGTGCATTTTCTTCCCATCCTCCCTCCTTTATTTAGCCTATTTCTTTTTTAGTCCGATGTAATACAGAAATAAAGTATATGTTAGTAATAAAATAGTCATTGTCTTTAGTGAATATTATGGTATGGAAGAAAATATTTTAATGTAGAAAATTCACATTGCACTGTGAATCAGCAAATCTGAATTTTAATTTTGGTACTGTTAGCAGTTAGATGTGTAACTCGAGGCAAGTCACTTCCCCTCTGAGCTTTAGTTTCCTCATCTGTAAAATGGAGTGGGGAGGGCAACTTTTAGACCTGTTTCGTTTGAACAAACTGTATGTCCTCTTTGATTAAAAATGTGGTTGCCTTATGATTAGCACACATACTGTAGGGGGGGTCACAGGGAAGACAGTATAGCACAGAGAAGACAAGTAGTGACTCTATAGCATCTTACTACTCTGATGGACAGTGACTACAATGGGGTGTTGGGAGGGAACTTGATAATAAGGGTGAATGTAGTAACCACAATGTTGCTCATGTAAAACCTTCATAAGATTGCATATCAGTGATACCTTAATAAAAAAAAATGTGGCTGCCTTAAATCCCTTTCTTAAAAACTGTCTTTATTGCTTTTTACTTTTTTTTTCTTTCTCTCCATCTTCCTGTCTTCCCTCCTTTCCCTTTTTTCCATGGATCCTTGTGGTTCCTATCAGATTCTTTAGAGAAGATGAATTATTTTTGATATCCTTCATTTACGAAGATAAGCTGAGAAAGTAGGTACCTTGTAAGTAGTTAAT